AATGGAACAAAGTAGTTGTCATTCTCACACTTTTTCATGTCTGCTAAAGCAGTTCCCATAAGCCTTTTTGGGATTTTCTCTGCAGAAATAAAAGTAGTTGTGGTATTTCTGCAAAGAAAATATAAAAAAGGCTTAAATTACAGAGTTTTTTAAAGTGCTACTTGCATGAAAATGGCCTTATTTCAAAACTTCAAGCAATACAAATATATAACTCATTTATATCTATTAAAAACAATTGCGGGAAAATATTTGTCTTGGAATTATCCCACATTAGAGAAATGTTGATTCAAAAGATGGAAGAACAAAAGGATTGAGTAAATGACGTCATCTACTCCAACATTTTTTGCTGAAATTATTAAGGATTTGCATCAATATTTTCTTGAAATCTGTTGCTTCATGATTATTAAACCCATATGGATAGGTCTATTTGATTTCCAAGTCTTTTCTAATGTTTTGCAATTTTCGTCCAAGTAGCCCTTTAATATAATATGTGTGAGACTACAACTCCCATCATGCACCATTTTATAAAATGCTGCACATTTCCTATTGAAATAAAAAAAATCATCTATTGAGCATTTTTCGTTGTTATGTGTTGTAGTTGTATGAAATCCCTTTCTATGTTGCACTGGATGACCAACACAAGGCTGTAGTGATATCAATTCGTGGTACACTATCAATGAGGGTAGGTAAAAAAATGTATAGACAATATTATTTTTGGCGTGCGGAGATACAGATTTTATCTTCAAGTGTCGAAAAGAATTTGAACACGAGAAGATAAAATTCTAACATTCGCACAATAGTGATTTGCAATGTACAAGACAAAACCTCTGGCTTTTAATATTAAAGTATTCTTTCAAAGAAAAATAAGCACTAATGGATAAAAGTCTTGCCTAAAGGACACAAAATTTGATATGCTTGGTATAGAATTGAGGACAGGCCTTCAGATTCAGAGCGTGTGTATTAAACACTAGACTATCTTGTCTATCATTTTCGCAACCATTTTCTTCCTCTGAAGGATACTTTGACAGACATGACAGGACATGGAGAGAGAATTGACATACACGTTGAGGGATTGGAGGATGGAAGCATGGCACACAAGGTTTGATGATATATGAATTTGTTAATTATTATTTTTAATATTATCTGGACACCAAACGTTGCACTTTTTAAAAGGGAATGTTCCTGACTGCACAGTACATCAAGGATCAGCTGATTAACAAGGGTATCTTACAAGGTGCATTTGATGAGGCTCAGAGAAGGGTAAATAGTATTTACTTTATTGTTATGGTCAGTAAAGGGGGCTGGAAATCTTGGGAGGATGTAAGGAAGGCTGTGTATACTAATTACTAACCCCTCATGATTGTAAGCCGCGTGGCTGCCAATTGCGCCTTAAACAGCGGTCCGTGTGAAATGATCTATACATGTGAAGCGCCTTTGAACCCAGAGGATA